TTGAACATTTTAATTTTGAAAAGTTACAGAAGGAGTTTTGTAGACAAACCTTTTCCTCTGGATCTTAAAGGAGAGGAAGGAAAATTTGGTGCTTATTTTTCCAAGGAAAACAGTAGAGCCTGTGTGAGCCGATTTCCAGCATGTTTTCTTACTTCCCCTGTGACAGGTGTGAACTTGAGTGGTGTCCTTGCTCTCTTTCTGCGCTTAGCTCCCAAGGGACTTTTGGGCTGGGCTCCAGTGGCACCAGGGCTGGTTCTTTGTCCCTGTGCAGTGCTGAAAGAAGCCACTAGGTGGGAGTCAGGGACAAATGCTGGGAAGTGAAATCCCAAAGAGTGAGGTACAGCAGGGGCTTTACATGAGAAAACAGCTTTTTATTTTTCTTTTTTAGACAAAGATAATATAAGCACCTCTCATTACTGAAGCTGCTGAGCTGCACCGGGGTCAGCTGGCAAAGAGAATTCTTTGCCATTTTCCTTAGAAACAGTGGACAGAGGGCAGTCAAGGGAGCACTCCACTGTTGAGGGTAGAGGAGAAGAGACAGGGCTGGTCCTGGGAGCACAGACTTGACCTTACCCTGTGGATGTGAGGAAACCTCTCCAGATTCTTTGACTGCAGTGCCTTCTGCTGGGGTGCAAGTAGGATGGCCCTTTCCATTCCCGGAGGCATATCCTAGCCCACAGTGTATGCTATGCTGTGCCCTAGAGAAGCTTCCTGTCCCCTGTGGGACTTTGAATGCCTTTTTCCTGGCACAGCAGCCAAGACTAGGGGCCTTCAGCCACTGCAAATTTAGCAGTTTTAATTTTCCTGGATCGTGATCCCTGCCCCCAAAGTAAATTTACCCTACTAAATTCTAGCAATCTGGATCCTTTCAGATCTGACCTAAAGAGACTATTTCAGCCCCTAACAATGTTTATAAATGACCAAGAATGTGCAAACACTGGTGAAAGAGCAAATAAATCCTTCCCCACTAAACTTCCTGCTTCAGACGCTGGGGCCATGGTGGATGATGTTGCCAGGTTAGCATAACTTGAGGTCTGAGCATGTAGACACCCACTTACCCTCCACTCACAAAAAAAAAAAAAAAAAAAAAAAAAAAACCTGCCAGAGAAACACCACCAAGAGCCTTCTGCCCTTTCAAGTACCTGCTAGTGGGCAGTCAGGCTCCAGGGAATTTATGCTTCTGGCAAGTTTAGTAATATATGTTTCGAATAACTTTTTTTTTCTCTTTGAGATGGAGTCTCACTCTTATTGCCCAGGCTGGAGTGCAGTGGTGTGATCTTGGCTCACTGCAACCTCTACCTCCCAGGTTCAAACAATTCTCCTGCCTCAGCCTCCTGATTAGCTGGGATTACAGTTGTGCACTACCGTGCCCGGCTAATTTTTGTATTTTTAGTAGAGACAGGGTTTTGCCATGTTGACCAGACTGGTCTTGAACTCTTGACCTCAGGTGAGCCGCCCACCTCAGCCTCCCAAAGTGTTGGGATTACAGGTGTGAGCCACCGTGCCTGGCCTTAAGGAACTTTTGAAAGCAGTTTCCTAACCTCTCACTCCTCCAAGTATTGTCCTGGGACCAGTGGTGCAGGCATCACCTGGGAGCTTGTCAGCAGTGCACAACAGCAAGCCCCATATCCAACCTACTGAATCAGAATCTGCGTTTTTACTAGAGCCCCCTCAGGCCCAGGGAATTCATTCTGGATGGGGAAGCACTGTCCTAACCCAGGGGTTAGCAAACCATGGCCTATAGTTAACCCACTGCATATTTCTTACACTTATCAGCTAAGAATGATTTTTACATTTTTCAAGACTGAAGAAAAATCACAAGAATGTTTTGTGATGGGAAAATAGTATAAAATTCAAATTGTGGTGCCCATAAATAAAGTTTCACTGGAACACAGCCACACGCTGGTTTAGGTGTTGGCTGTGGCTGCTTTTGCACTGCATGTATGAGAGAGACTGTGTGGCCCACCAAACCCAAAATATTTACCATCTGGCCCTTTACAGGAAAAGTCCGCCTACCTTTGTCCTGATCTGTTTTGGATGTGTGTTTCCACGCTTGTGTTCTGTGGAGGCCTGAGCTGCAGTGCCCAGGACTTCCTCCACTGCGCTCTTCCCTCTCCTCCTCCTCCTCACTAGCAGCGGGCGCACTGTGCACCATGTCTGCTGACGGACACAAGTTGTTTCTGACTTACGACGATTTATGAGGGAGTGTCCTGGCAGCTGCCACCCATGGCCCAGAGGTGAAGGCTCGGGGCTAAGTGGAGCCCAGGATGCCTGTAGGTGATAGGTCAGTGGAAAGGCATGTGATCATGAGATTCCTCTCGGTTTACAGTTCTGCCAGATAAGATGCTGCTGACTTCTGGTAGGCAGCAGGAGTGGAACCTCAGGGGACTGCAGCTTCCCTTTCACCCATTCCCTCAAGTACTTGGAATTCCAGACAGGTAGGTGACAATCCTGAGATTCTCTTCTAGACTCTAGGATGGGGTGGAGCAAACTACAGTGACTTTCCCGGCAGACCTGGCCACCCTGGCCTCTTAGCTGTGTTTTCACTTCCAGAATGCTCAGCCTCACGGTCTCTTGCCATTTCCCACAGCTAGCTGCTGCATGTTACATGCAGTAATGAGTTGAGTCTGGCTGTAGGTGAGCAAAGCACTTCCAGGAAGGCCCTGGGGACTGTTGGGTCACTGTAGTGACCCCTATTTATGTACTGTCTGTGGTTCCTGAGGACTTCTGTCTTCAGAGATGGGTCCAGTGAGTCTGAAGCACTACCTCACAGGAGCGGTGTAATGCAAGCAGGAAGCCCAGAGCCCCCAATAACAAGGGCAGCCTTGACCTTTAGGAGTAACTGCCTAGGCCCAATAAAACCTGAGCTTCTAGCCTTTTGGGAGTCGTGTACTGTTTTGATCATCTGAAAACTCTTTTCAGAGAAAAATTTATGCATACAAAGGTACTCTGTGTATATTTTACAAACATATTCAGGGGCTTATCTGATCCCTGGAACCCCATCTGTAGATCAGCAGAGGTGCCCTGGACAGAATGAACATCCAGGGGAAGTGGTGCAGCCATGGGTTTGCCTTGCCAGGCCAGTGCAATGAGGGAGCCACGACCGGGACCCAGCTGCCCCTGGGGATGGTGGGGTGGGGGCGGTGAGTGAGTGAGGAGGTGCCTTAGCTTCTCAATCAATCCCATTTCACTCAGCCCCTCCCCTTTCCCTCCTGCCAACCTGCTCCTAAGTCTTTTGGGGTGTTAATCTGTGATCTTTGAGTAGAATTACAATATAAGTAAAATGTACTTTGGTGTTTAAGGAAAAACAGGGCTGAGATAAGACTTGCTACTTGAGGATGCCATAAAAATGTCAAGAATTTAGCTTAGTTTATCCGGATTCCTCCATCCCTTACTCCCTTTTCTGTCCCTTTCTCTCCCCAACCCTGCACCCTCCTCCTTTGTGCATCACAGTTGAGTTGAGCTAACAGAGGAAACGGGCCATCTTTTCCTCTTTGTGTTGAACATCTTTACCCTGGATAGAAAGACCTTGAAATCTCTTTTCTTCAAATAGCATTTTTTAGTCTTACTTTGCCAGTCTTATCATTTGAGACTTATTCTTTTATACAAAAAATGTTCAAGTTCGTACTGTGTGCTAAGAATTGTAGACATGGAAGTGGGAGAACTGAGTGGGAAATCAGACCCACCTCTGACAGTCTGGTGCAGTAGGCGTGGTTCAGTGTGACTAGGTCAGTGATGAAGTGGAGGGGAACACAGGTGCTCAGGAGGAGCTAGAAGAGGGACACCTGAGCCCCAGCTCCATGTAAGCTGGGAGTTAGCAAGGCTGATGAGAGCAGCCACGATGGCCACATTTCTCCTTCCTCCTCTTGTACCAGAACCTAAGGAAGGGCACTGTGCTCCTCCCAGGAGAGTGGGGGTTCTCTCCCATCCCGTAGAGGCTGGAACTCTGCACCATCTCTCCCGTCCAGCTCCCAAATCAGCTTGTCTACCTCCTTCCTTGGAGTCCTAGATATACCTTTATTGCATACCATGTGGTAATCCTTAACCCAGGTCAGGAAGTTGGTTTCATTTGCCTTGGATGTGGGGGAAAATGTATACCGACAGGATGAATTTCTTCGTTTGACTTGTTCAGGCTTTTAGACAGAGAAAAACCAACCTGCTTTTTCCTGCACCTTTAGAGATGCTCTTCCTTGGCACTTCCTGCCATAGCATGGGTAGGGAACCTGGACTGGGTGGGTCACACTGTGCTCTGGAGCTGGGCAAGAGGTGAGAAGCAAGGGGCTAGAGCTCAGTGCATAGGCAGCAAAGCCTGCTTTTCCTTTCTCGCCTCCGTCTGGGTGTGTCTCCAGGAATTCACTCCTCCCCTCGTGCCAGCTGCTGGCTCCGGCTCTCCTCCCTGCCGCCTCTGTGATGTCTGTGGGCTGGCTCAGCCTGCTGTGGACTGTGCTGCCAGGCATTTGTTTCTGTCCTTTTGGGCTCTGCATCTGGCCTGGTGAACGTTGAAGCCATGTAAGGGGTATGCTGACACCCCATAGGGCCTGCTCTTCAGACTAGGAGTTCCAGGAAACCCCAGAGAGCTGGGAAGCCCCAGGCAGTCACAAGATGTGCATCTGCAAGTCTTTTGCCACAGCAGAGCTTAGGGCCTTGCATGTAACCACAGTTCCCACCGCACCCACATCAAAGGTCACTTTCATAATCAGTCGTAGCCAAAGGCCACACATTAAGGGCTGGGCAAGGGGGAAAAGCTGTTTTTAGCGGGGAGCTCTCAAAGGAAATGGGAATATGAAGAGGAGATGGGGTGGGGGGTGGCATCCAGGGAATGCTGGAGGGGCCCTGGAGAGCCTGCACGTGACCTGCCCTGACAGGAGGAAAACAGCCACAGCTCCAGGTCTCTCCAGCCTTTCCAAGGCTCCTGTCTACCCAGCACTGCTCCCTAAGTCTCGTGGAAATGCACCTGAAGCAGCCTCATGCTTTCCACCTCCCTGCTTGTAAAGCCAGGTAGTCCAGAGTGGGGGACAGCCAAAGAGGCAGGACCCTCTAGCCCTGGCCCCTGTCTAAAATGTGGCCCCCAGGGAGCTCTAGCTGGTGCCAACAGCCCAGGACCAGACTCCCCCGAGTTTGCGGCAGCTGGTCTCCAGGGGATGGCACCACCAGCGCCAAGGACAGCAAACACCCTGCACAGGGCCCGTCGCTCAGCAGGACCAGGAACCCAGACTGGAGCTGCTTCTGAATCTGCTCTTTTTTGGAAACAGCAGGCTTTCCTTGGGGCACAGGCTGTCGCTCGCCTGGAAAACGAGTGGGTGTGAGCTTCGGGGCGGGGGTCAGACTGTGTGTGGGAACCAGTGAGCTCCTCCAAGAGCAGCACTTATTTTTAGTCTTCTCCCCAGTCCCAAATAAACTGAGAGCAGCTGGGAGCCCTGGGTAAATGCAGAGTGAAGCCGAGACAGGAAATCGGGGCTCTCAGTAATGAGTTCCAGCCACTCCAGAAGGGGGAAGCCAGACAAGGAATTTTCTTCAGGACTGTTTCCCTCTGGCAGGCTCTGGTATTATCACTGAGAACAGTCCCGTGTGTGTGTGCGCGTGTGTGTTGTGTTTACAACTCCTGTCCAAGTCTTTCTTTTTCCCCCACCTTTGTGCTAGGTTTGATTTCTCTGCAGGGCTCTGAATCCCAGTCCTGGTGCGTGTGTGCACGCGTGTGTGTGTGTGTGTGTGTGTGTGTATCTGTGGGGGCGGTTGGGGAGGACACTGGAGCAGCACGGTCTGCTCTGAGTCGCTGTGTGTCTGAAACTGTCCAGGGAGAGGCTGAAGGACGCAGGCCAGGGAAGTGGGGAAATTTGAACACAGCTTGGAGCTCTTGAGGGGGGAGGGGGCAGAGGCAAGGAAGAGGAGAGAACCTGGTCTCCAGCCAGAAAAAGGGCTTTTTCAACCAAGGCATCTAACTGCTGACATGGGTGCCCAGCATGGATGGGGACATTGATGTTTACAAGCATTTCTCGTGGCTGAAGAGGGTAAGTGACTGGCTGCTTTGTCTGGGTCTCTGTGGAGATGAGTGAGGGGGAGACACTTTAGGGTGTTTTGCGGTGAGTGTGCGTGTGTGTGGTGGGGGGAGGTATTGTCTGGCAGAGCCCTGCTGTGGCCAAGTGCTTCATGAGAATCTAATTATAGACACTAGGGAGAAAACAGTCAGCTGTCTTTGTTTCTCCACTGACATTCTAGTGAATGAGCCTCTTGTACAGAAAGGCAAGAATGGAGCGAGGAAAGTTGGTTATTTTAACTTTGGCACTTAAACAGTCAGAGGCTCCAAACACCGTGAGCAGAAAACTGTGCCCACTGCTTTTCAGTTTGAGGACAAACTGAAAAGGAAGCTGCTGCCTCTTTAAATGCACTGAATTCGGAAGTTGTTTAACTCATTCTCACTTTGATTTTATCCAGCGGAGGACACATCTGCTGTCAGCAGAATCAGCTTCTGCATTTCCGGAGGAAAGCTTTCAGGGAGTTCTCTTTTGAATGCTCTGAAGCTGAGGATTTATGTTGCAAGTTGTTCATGCCCTTTCTTTAGATAAGCCTTAGTGTGTGGTATGAGCAAGGAATGAATGAACGTTGGGGGCTGGAGTAGCATCGCACTCCTAGAATTCAGGCTGTTTCCTCTTTTGTGGCTGCCTTTAAATTGTCTAAGATAGGTATGAATTTATTTTCACACTAAGGGATTTTAGGCTGAATGTTTCTCAGAGGCAGGAAGGGCAAAAGCAGCTGACAGGTTAGAGACTTGACATTGTAACTGCAGAAGGACAGGAGAGCCAGGAAGCATCCAGCTCGGAAGGGGCATGCAGGTCCCTGGACCCCAACTCCCAGACACTGAGCTGGCTGGCTTTTGTGTGAGTGCAGCAGCACTCATGCAGCAAATCTTTACTGAGTTTTGGGTACTGGATGTACAGTAGTGAGCAAAATAGAACCAGTCTCTTGTGGATCTTCTACCTGGTGCTAGAGACGTAGGTGAAACTGTCCCAGGAAATAAACCTCAGATGACAAACAGTAAGTGTGCCTGGAGGAACAACAGAAGACACGGGACTGCTGTTTTGATTGAGAAGGAAGGGTCAGGGAGTTTGAGGAAATTACACTTAGCTGAAAACTGAGAGTAGTAAGAATGAGTCAGGTGAAAAATGGGGTGAAGAACATTCCAGGCAAAGGGGATGATGTATACAAAGGTCCTAAAGCAAGATGGAGTCTGCCAATCAAGATGGACTCTCTCAATGTGTGCAGATTGAGAGAGAGCCCATGTGGCTGAGTGCAGTGTGGCAAGCAGAGACGGGCAGAGGATCACGTAGGACAGCTAAGGCCACAGTAAGGCTTGTGGGCTACATGGTTTGTATGCTGGGGGACTTGTAGCAGGGAAGTAACATGGGATACACTGGGGGGTCCAATTTGTATTTTAAGAAAATTGCTCTAGCTATGATGTGGTATATGGTAAGCTATGTTGGGAAAAGTAAGGCAGCTGAAAACAATTACAGGGCTGAGGGCTTGGAGGAATCAGTTAGTACAAACCCCTCATTTAACAAAGCCCGAGAGAGGCTAAGAACCTCATGGTATTAGTATCATAGCTGTTAGTGGTGCAACCTGGTCTTGAACCCTGTTCTCTATCTCCCAGTCTAGTTCTCTTTATCCATCTTCTCTGCCAAATATATAGAAAATTATTGCTTTAGAACCCAGCAGAAATCCTGTCTGTGCCCAGCCCCTGGGGCATCACAGTCACCAGAGAGCATGCCGAGATGACCAGATGTTTTGGCAAAGGTTTGCATCATCTTTAGCTTTTAAAAAGCCCCACTGGGGAGATACTGGCAGGAAATAGGTAAGAAATGCACTTTCCATCACTCGGTCTTTCTTTCCCCTGTATCCCAAATGAAGCTTTTAATCAAGAAATCCTTTCAGCCAACATGTGCCTAGGATTGTCAGAGCCTTGTCTCAGCCCCTGTGGCATATACTGTAACTCTGCCTAGTACAGGAGACTTTCTATGTGTGGAGGAACTAATTTTGCAAGTGATGCAATGTAAGAAGGCCCTTTTTGTCCCAGGACCCAGGGTATTCTGGGTCCTGTAGACAGTTGGAAGTTTGCTTAGAGAAACTTGAAGCAAGGAGACTTCAGAACCCCCCAGGATGACTCATAGCAAAACAGATATTTTTCTTCTGCTTTGGGAATTTTTGTTTTTGTTTTCGTTTTTGTTTTGAGACAAAGTCTCGCTCCGTCGCCAGGGGCCAGGCTGGAGTGCAGTGGCACAATCTCGGCTCACTGCAACCTCTGCCTCCTGAATTTAGGCAATTCTCCTGCCTTAGCCTCCCGAGTAGCTAGGACTACAGGCACATGCCACCATGCCCGGCTAATTTTTGTATTTTTAGTAGAGATGGAGTTTCACCATGTTGGCCAGGATGGTCTCGATCTCTTGACTTCATGATCCTCCCACCTCGGCCTCCCAAAGTGCTAGGATTATAGGCGTGAGCCACTGCATCTGGCCCTACTTTTGGAATTTTAGAGAGCATGTTAAAAAAGCAAAACTAAAATTGTTAGACGTGTCATAGGCAGTGTGATCAGAGTATTTTCCCTATTCTCTATCCTAATCACTACTGCCAGATTTTTAAAAATCTTTTAAAAAACAAAAACAAAACTCCCCTTTCATTTTATGACCCTGATGATGAGCCCCCCAGACTCACCCTTATTCTGGAAGAAAAATCTCAGGATTTTCAGCTTGCTTGGGCTTTGAGACCATCAGTAGTCCAACCTCAACTTACCTTTTCTATTTTATCTTTTATATCTACCCTCTTGAGCTTCCAAGTGTATTTCTTCCCTTTTCTGAGCTTTTACCCCAGAGGACCACTTCCTCTCTAACTCTCACCCACTTCATCTGACTCCATCCGACTCCATCCAGCCTGTCTTTTCCCAGGAAACCTTTCCTGGCCCTCCCTCCCACCTCCTGTAGCCCAGGTCTGCAGCACTTCCCATCTGCACGACCCACCCACCCCTCCTCCTGTGCTTCCTTCAGCTGAGGTGGCTTGGAGAGCCAGTTTCTCTGAACTCATGTTTTTGAAGTAGAAACACTGTCTTCTTCATTCTCCTTTACAGAGGGCATAGATTCTAGAAGAAGAGGTGCCTGGTGCACAGAGTAGAAGCCCTTGCCCTTTGAGCAGTCCCAGGTGGTAGAGAAGGGAGGCATCTATGTTCAGAGAGGCACAGAGCTGGAGGGGAAATATTTGTTCAGAAAAGAAACCTTACTCCAGGGCCTTTGTGGGATGGGATAGTGTATACTATTAATCTTATAGTTAAGAACATGTAGTCTGGAGTGAGGCCTGGATTAGAATCCTGGCATTGCCACGTTTACCAGCTGTGTGGTCCAAGGTAAATCATCTCAAAAGCCTGGATTTCTTCCACTGTAAAATAAGGAAGATAATAGTACCTACCACATACAGGCTTTATGAGGACTAAGTGAGATAATAGAATTAGCACAGTATCGTGCATATGAGAGACACTCAATAACATGTGTGCCCCTAACTGCTGTTGGCGATTACCAAGAAGCGGGAGGTTGAAAGAGGAAGAGATGGGACCAGGCTCTATCCTAGAAGTGCCTCTCAGGCCATTCAGTCCTTTAGCTCTGTGCCCCTTCCCACATTCCAGATCAAGGTCTCAAACCAAGCATACTGAAGACCTAGAAGAAGGCAGCTGCAAACTGGGCCACCGTAGGTCACCAGAGGCCTCATTGGCTGCTGGATCCGGCCAGCTTGGCTGTGGTTGCTGAGTGAAGGCTGACCAGGGCTGATGCTCTAGTTCGTTCTTGTAATGCACAAAGCCTAGAACAAGGTAGTCCCCTGCCACAAGTATACAGAGGGTCTCAGCCCCCTCAGCTATTTGGTTCCTGACTCACAAACAGCTCACACCTGTCCTACATTGAGGTCAGTAGATCCAGCCCACACAGCCATGAACATGCCTCTAAAAATAGCTCCAAGCGGGGTCTGTGGGACCCACCCACTGCTCTTTCAGCAAGAGTTCATTTTCCCAGGAACAGAAATCCCAGACTGCCAGCATCTTCACACTGCTTCCTGGCTTCCAGCACGCTCAGTGCTTAAGCACATTCCAACCCAAAGTCACAAAGAAAATGGAATCACTATGGGTCCCCCATGCAATTGGCTTGGGTTCTGCAGTAGAAAGTAGAATGAACTCAAGCTGCTAATGTGAGACTTTATTCCATGTCATCTGATGCTCAAATGGTTGATCTAGTAGCCTGGCCGCTTGGGCCAGAAGAGCTGCAAAGGCAGACACACATGCACGCTTGCTCCAGACATTGCCTTGCCTTGCATTCATGTTGGGCTGCAGTGAAAGTTGCAGAAATAGTCAGCAGCTTCTGTGAAGGCTGTTCTACTAGTTAGCTCTTAACGCTCGTGGATCCTGGATCTAGATTCCTTGGGCTCATATCTCATCTCTATGTAAACTTGGGTGATTTATTTAACCTTCCTGGAATTCAATTTCCTTGACTATAACATAGGGATAAACAATTATATGTGTGTATATATATATATATATATATATATATATATATTTTTTTTTTTTTTTTTTTTTTAAGATGGAGTCTAGCTCCTTGGCCCAGGCTGGGAGTGCAGTGGCACGATCTCAGCTCACTGCAGCCTCCTTCTCCCAGGTTCAAGTGATTCTCCTGCCTCAGCCTCTCAAGTAGCTGGGATTCCAGGCATGAGCCACCATGCCCGGCTAATTTTTGTATTTTTAGTAGAGACAGGGTTTTGCCATGTTGGCCAAGCTGGTGTCGAACTCCTGATCTCAGGTGATCTGCCTGCCTCAGCCTCCCAAAGTGCTAGGATTATAGGCGTGAGCCACTGCACCCAGCCAATTCCATATATGTTAAGTGCTTAGGAAGCACTTCATAAGTGTTAGTTATGGGGATGATGACATTGGTCAGAACTAACAACCTCTGGTTACTCCAGAGCCATGTACCTAACCCTGATTCTGAAA